CGCTGCTGCCCCTGCCGGCCGGAGCCCGCCCCGCCTCTCGGGCCGCTCCCCCTGGGATTATTACGCCTGAAAGCACACGTGCGGCTAGATTATTGCAGGTGCACAGCATAATTACACACTAGTTGCCCTCTTGCTGCTGCTTTTTACAAATTCTATTTCTAATCGACAAGTAAGAATTGTATATATTTAGGGGTGACTAAGTGATGTTTTGATGTATGTTCATATCGTGGAAGGATGAAAGCAAACTAATTAACATGTTCTCACCTCTTTATCATTATTTTGTGGTGAGAACATTACAAATCTACCTCTTCAGAAGTTCTGAAATATACAACACATTTTCATTAACTACAGTCGTTCTGCAGCTAAGCAATCGATCTCTAAATTGAGCAGGCCTCTGTGGCTGGCCCCTCCTGTGTCCCTTCCTCTCCCGTTTGTGCCTTTTCAACTCCCTTTCCCGTTATTCCAACACTGTCCCCTGTCTGATAGGCCCTTGGTCTCCCAATTTTTCTACCTCTTTCCCTGGGACTCTCCTCCCCCGCTCTCACCTTCCCCTCTCTTCTTCTGCCCTGATCTTGGTCACCCTATGGAACAACTGAGCCGGGACAAGCCAGCTGTGGACTCACCTTCTACTGCTATTTGTCCCCTCTGGTTTCCCAAAGTTGTAGTGGGATGTAGAGAGGGATCATGGGAAAGAAGGGTGCCCTGGGGCTGGAGCCCAAACCCAGTGCATGAGGAGATGAGATACTTTGGTTGGACAGGCCACATTTGTCTCTGCGGATGGGCTATTCTTAGGGTATGGACGTGTGCTGAACTTGAACTCAGTTCCTCACAGCCCAGACTGATAGGAGCATGACCTCAAGATACTCTTGCTGTCTGCCCACATTCTCTTGGAACTTGGGGTTTAGGAAGAGCTTGTTACCTTTCTGTACCTGTCCTTGTTCCCTACCTCTAGACTTTTTTTTTTTTTTTCACTTTTTCCTCTTCTTCTCTCCCACCCCCTCTGGTACTGGAGATCAAACTAGAGCCTCAAACATGCCAGACAGGCACTCTACCACTGAGCTATGCCTCCAGCCCTTTTTTCATTTTGTATTTTGAGGCAGGGTCTTGCTAAATTGCCCTGGCTGGCCTCAATTCTGTGATCCTCCTGTCTCAGACTCTCAAGTCACTGGTATTACAGGCTTGCTCCCGTCTAGGCTTTATCCCCTCTGTATGGTGGATTGAACCCAGGGGTGCTTTACCACTGAACTACATCCCCAGCCCTTTTTATTTTTTGAGACAGGGTCTTGCTAAGTGGGTGAGGCTGGTCTTGAACTTTCCATCCTCCTGTCTCAGCCTCCTGAGTAGCTGGCACTGGGTGGCTCCTACATCCCTGCCCTTGTGCACCATGGCTAGGCTTCATCTTTTAACCCAGAAAGAGATGTTCCTGAGCTGGTACCCTGTCCTTACTGGCTTGTTCATCTCCCTGTACTTCCCAGTTCCCTATCACCTACTTCTGCCTGTCTGTGCAGGGGTGAGCCTCGAATCACCTGGGGATTTGTTGAAAATCCAGGCCTTGGTCCCTCCTCTAGTCCTGTTAGTGCGGGTGAGGCCCAGGCAGGTGAAGTTCTAAAAAGCTCCCAGGTGACTCAATTTTAGAGCCACTGACCAGTTCAGAACCACTAGTGATTTACTGTGTATAAAGAGCTTTTATGGACTTTAAAATCACAACTGTAATTCCTAAACTCCATGTATCTGTTCACTATGTGCCTTGTTTGTCTGTATTGATCACTGATTTGTTTATCAGTTATTGGTCTTTGGCCAACCATAGCATTTAACCAGTATCCAGCCATATTATATCATCTAAAGCCATGTACCAATAGTAGTTACATGTTCATTTATTAACACACATCAATTTAAAAGAAAATCAGTAATAACTCACATTGAGTACCTGTTATGTGCCAAGTACTGTTCTTTCCAGGCAACAGAAATGAAATAGTAAACAAAACAAGGTCCCAAAGTTTAGCATAGGGCATGGTTAGGTGGTCAGAACTGATTTCCAACTTGACTTCAATCCTTGGGAACACAATGTCTGGCTGGCAAGAGGGGCACTTCTGCAGAAGCTCCAGAACAAGGTGGAGAGTGGCAACTGATTAAGAGGATGCAGAGGGAAGTCGAAGGCGGTGGTATTTGAAAATAGACGTTTGGGGCTGGGGATGTGGCACAAGTGGTAGCGCGCTCGCCTGGCATGCGTGCGGCCTGCGTTCGATCCTCAGCACCACATACAAAAACAAAGATGTTGTGTCCGCCGAGAACTAGAAAATAAATGTTAAAAAATTCTCTCTCTCTCTCTCTCTAAAAAAAAAAATAAATAAATGAAAATAGACGTTTGAAGGACAGGAGGGGTCCGGTGGATGGCGGATGGCGCAGGGCTGTAATCCCAGGGACTCTTGAGGCTGAGGCAGGAGGATCACAAGTTCAAAGCCAACCTCAGCAACTTAGTGTGGCCCTAAGCAAATTAGCAAGACCCTGGCTCAAAATAAAAAAATAAAAGTGCGTGGGAGTGTGGCTCAGTGGTTAAGCGCCCCTGGATTCAATCCGCGGTACAAAAAAAGAAAAAAGAAGCAGGAAGGATTTGTTGATGAGGGAGCAGCTGGATTGGAATAGAGGAGCCAAACTCAGGAGCACAGACAGCCCCCGGGGGCCTGAATGCTCCGCCTCCTCTCTTGAGAGGCTCCGGGTCTCTCTCGGCCGTCTGTGTCAATCTAAACCTGGTGGCCAATGGTAGGAGAGAAGAGAGCACTTCCGCACCTCAACCGCACTTAGGAGGAGGGTCAGAGGGCAGAAGAGGCGGGACCAGAGTGATCACATGCGCCACCCGATTGGCCAAGGGCCAAGGCGGTGCCGAGTTGTTTGGCGGCGTTCATTGGCTAGAGCCGGTCGGCTGGGCTCGGAACACGCCCCCTTCGGTCGCGGGTTTGGTTGCGCGGCTGCCGGGGAAGGAGACGCTGCCCTTTCGCAGCGATGGGATCCCGGGTGAGTGGCGGCCTGGGCTGAGTCGACCCTACGGGCGGGCAGCGGGACAGGGTCCCAGACAGAAGCTTGCGATGCGCGGGGTCAGCCCTGCTCAGGGAACTGGGCAGGTGCAGGTGTCCCGGCCCAGACGGACCGGTAAGGTGCTCAGGATGGAATGAGTAGGTACTCGGGCCGAGGGAGGCGCGAGAGGGTGCCTTGCTTGGCGGTAGAATGAGAAGGTACCTGGGTCAGAGAGGAGACACCCGGGCCTGGAACGTTGCTGGTATCCGAACATGAATGCAAGTGTCCGAACCCAGGCTGAGAAAGTACTCGGGATGGAAGGACCAGGTGTGCTGGCCGTGGGTGATGCTGGAGGGTGCCTGGACGAACCTCAAGGATATTCTAGGAGTAGGAGTCAAAGAGGAAGGGGCCTGGCCCAGGCAGTGCAAGATATCCGGAATGGAATGAGCAATGGAATGAGCACTGCTGTCTCAGTGCTTGTCTACCCAATGCTGGGCCAGGTGGGAGTTCGGAGGTGTATGGGATGGGATGAACAGAAGACTGGGCACAGGGTGGCCCAAGGGAGGGCCTGGGTTGGGGACATTCTGGGGTCAAGATGGATTAAAGGGTACCCAGGCCAGAGGCCTTTGGGGGTTGTCCAGAGCAGGACCTAGGATGGAAGGCATGGGCATCCAGGCTGAGAGTGTTGTAGTGTCTGGAAGTGGAATGAGGAGGTGCTGACCCAAGATTGTAGAGCAGGAAAGAGGTGGTTGCCCGGGTGGGGCAACGCTGCCCTGCCCAGCAATAGGTGTCTTTGTTGCGGGGGTGTTGCCACAGGTTTTTCACTATAGTTAGGAGGTGGAGGCCTCTTTTCCTTTGGACCTGGCTTGTGCCAGGGGGATGGATAGGTTAGGTCATGAATGGACTGGATTTGAACCCCTTCCCTGCAATGAGGTGGGCTTGGAAGGGAAGTTGTTACCTTCTTCTCAAGGGGGACAGCAGAGGCTATCTAGACTCTCAGGCAGACAAATACCAGGCCTCAGTCCCCCCTCTACCTGTCTGGCTCCTGGCACATGCATCTGTGCTCATCATTATAACCCCAGGTGGGCTTCTCAGAAGCTCAGGGGCTTGAAAGTCCTTCAGGTGTGGCACAGACAAGCAGTGGAGTTGAGGAAAGCAGTGGCTGGAAAGCACCACTGTAGCCTTAGACACTCCCCCCCCCCAACTGGGGATATTTGAGTGACCTCAGTGAAGTTGCTCACATGTCAGAGCCTTACTTTCCCCATGATAACTGTGGTTATCATGAGGGTTCTGCTGTGACTGGACTTAACCTGTAATAAGTGCTTTGGGAAAAGTAGCTGCTGAACCTCTGATGTTCTTATCACCCCAACTCCAGGCCTGAGCCAGGCTTGGGGATGGGAGGAGGGGCTTGCAGCATGACCTGGACCAACCACTGGAGGTCACAGCTAATCGAAGCCTCCTGACAACGTGGCAGTTTCCTTAGTCCTAGAACGTCACTGTGCCCATCATTCCTTGCACCCCACCTCCCAGCCTCAGAGCTGGACTGATAGGACTGATAGGTCCTTCCCACTCACTGGGGATAAGCCGTCTCTTGTGCTGGCCCAGTGATTTTGGCCGCCATCCCAGGGAGACAGGGTCTGTCCTAGCCTGTGTGTTCCTTCTGCTTGAGGTCCCTTGAAGGCATCCTTAGGCTTCGTGCTGACAGTTGGGGAACACCCTGCAGGGTCTTGGGATCTGGGCTGTGTGATCAAGGTATTTATTCCCTGGCCTTGGAAGGGGACAGTAGGATACCCTGGGAGGGTTTCAAAAGGTCCAGAGAAAGCTGCTCTTGTTCCCTGTGGTTCTTCTGGGCCTGAACTTTCTGCTTCCTGTCAAATTTAGCAAAAGGGTTGCATTGAGCAGTCTAGAGTCCAACAGAACTTGATCCAAATCCTGACTCCCCACACCAGTGTGACTTTGGACTCCTGACAGCCTCCCCGAGACTCAGTTTCCTCATTGGAAGGTGGAGGCAGCATAGGCAGAAGGGTGAGTAGGTAGCATCTGCTTTGATGTTTCCCAGCCACTCCGGAGGAGGATGAGGCAGTAGGATTATGAGTTCAAGGCCAGCCTGGACAACTTAGTGAGACCCTGTTCTCCCTCACCTCCCCCCAAAAAGAAGAATTGTGACAGATCGATGAAATAACATAGATAAAGAGCTCAGCATAAAATAGCCATTGTCCTCATCTGCTGTCCTTTTCTGGTACAGTCCACAGAGCTTAACTTCATGGAAGGTGAAAAAGCTGTGATTATTCTCAGTCTTGGGCTGAGAATTTTGTTTAGCAAGTGGCTCGGGACTTAAAAAGGTGACCTGTCCATCTCCCAGGCCTGGTCCTCTTTTTGGCCAGCATGCCAGAGGTGCTGCCTTCTGCTCCCAGGGCTCGAGGTGGGCAAGAGTCTGTGAGGATCTGGCTGCCTACCTGCTGCCAGGTGCAGGGTCTGGGGCCGGATTCCAGCTGGTGTTCCAGACATAGGCTTTGTCTCTCTCTGTACTCTGAAGCCTTGTGTGGATCTCTTGTGTGGATGTACATGTGTATACATCCATGTGCTGACCTGGTTGTCTGTCTCTCAGATCTGTGGAGGGACTCTCTGGTATGAGTGTCCCTGTCTGGTTGGCGAGTGGACGGTGCCTCAGACCCAGTGGGCTACCAGCTGAAGGTGTTCTCTTGGGAAACTCTTGGCCCCACGGGCTCTCTTGCCTGGGGTGTCGATCCTGCCATGGCGTTCCGAAGGACTGAGGGCATGTCCATGATCCAGGCTCTGGCCATGACGGTGGCGGAGATCCCTGTATTCCTGTACACAACCTTTGGGCAGGTAAGGATGGGGATGGCCCTGCCTCTTATGCTTCTGGTCCCTGAAACACTGAGCTGCTCAGCCCAGGGACCCTCAGTGTCTGGGAGAGCTGGGCCTTTGTCACTGCTGTCCCAAACATCAGATGTCATCTCTGAGCAGAGTAAGAGGGACTGGGTTAGGGGTCTGGGCCCTGAGCCTGGTCTTTACCTCAAGGCCATGTGAGTCCTTGACTTCAGAGCTTGTCTGCAGAAGCAGGTGGGCTGCCTCCCTGGCAGCTCAGCTTTCCTGGCTGACCTGGGCTCTTTTGTTTTTTGGTACCAGGGATTGAACTCAGGAGACCTTGACCATTGAACCACAACCCAGCCCTATTTTGTATTTTATTTAGAGACAGAGTCTCACAGTTGCTTAGTGCCCTGAGGCTGCTGAGGCTGGCTTTGAACTCCTGTCTCAGCCTCCTGAGCTGCTGGGATTACAGGCGTGGCCACTGCACCTGGCTGACCTGGACTCCTGACGCTTCTTTTTAATTAAGAGTTGCCAATGAATTTTTTTTTTACTTTATTTTTTTAATTTTATGTGGTGCTGAGGATCGAATTCAGAGCCTCACACATGCCAGGCAAACGCTCTACCACTGAGCCCCAGCCCCAGTCCTCTGGATGCTTCTTGAAGCCCTGTCCTATGGGATGTGGTCCACCCAGCAGGCTCCCAGTCCAGTGAGCAGATGGCGAGGGGAGAGTGAGACGCATCATCATCTTCACAGAGTCTTTGAGAATCCAGGGCCGGCAGACCTGAGTTCCCGTGCTGCCTCTGTCACTATGAGCATGTATCTTAACCTCTGTGACCTCCATTCCTCACCTGGACAATGTGTCACCGGGATGTGACACAGCTCAAGTGCTAGTGCAGTGCCTGGTAGAGAGGCGCTGTATCCCTGTGCCCTAGGTCATCCTGACTAATGACTTCAGGGATGCCTGCTGGACCCCAGGCCTCAGCTCCTTGGTGTTGGCCCTTTGCCATCTTTATATATCTGTAGTCCTCTTTCAAAGAGGCTGATCAGGTCCTGTCTCCAGTAGTGACTGCCTTTGTCACTTATCTGGTCAGTGCAGGGACACTAGGTGCCCGGCACCTGAGTGCTCTTGGGATAGTGTTCCCTGGGGCAATGTAACCAGCCACCCTCTCTTTCCCACAGTCTGCATTCTCACAGCTGCGGCTGACCCCAGGCCTGCGCAAGGTTCTCTTTGCTACAGCCCTCGGGACTGTGGCCTTGGCCCTAGCTGCCCACCAGCTGAAGAGGCGCCGGCGGAGGAAGAAGCAGGTTGGCCCTGAAGTTGGAGGTGAACAGCTGGGCACAGTGCCCCTGCCCATCCTTATGGCCCGGAAGGTCCCATCAGTGAAGAAAGGTAAGCATGCAGTGGGGAAGCACTGACTTGGTCACGTTCCAGGGACCACCAGTAACTGTGGGGTCTTGGGCTAGTGCCTTCCTGTCGTCTCACAGCTAGGTTCCCACCATCCAAGAGACAGGGGTAGAACCTTCTTGCAGACATTGTAAGGGTCTAGTGGATGGTGTGCCTGATGCACATGTCCCACCAGTTGGGTGGTTCCAGGGACCCTTTGGGAGCACCCTGTACAGAGGGGCGCTGGTGGGTGTGGCCGGCTGGGGGCAGTTCCCTGAGGTTCAGGGACAGGAAGGGCTGATGGCTCTTGCTGTAGCTCCCATCCTGTGTTTTAGAAAACTGAGCCACAACTTGCCTGCGGCGATAGTCACCCTTTTTGCATAAGGTTGACATATAATCGGCCCACAACAAGAACCTTTCTGTCATCCCCTCATCCTCCCCAGTCCCTTTGTCCTCAGCCCCTCTCCCCTACTCCTATTCCTGGCAGATGCCCATCTGTGGCTAGCTGGTCTGGGTTTAGAAAACTCTTATGGCTCCTTGTAATCTATTAAATGAAGCTGTCTGCCACACCTGAGCATCCTATCAATCTGTTCCAGCGCAAGGTGTTCTCATAAACTTTCACCTGGAGAGAAATTCATTTTAAGAAGCCAAAGCCTCCTTCTGGGGAGAACTTTTTTTTTTTTTAAAGAGAGAGTGAGAGAGGAGAGAGAGAGAGAATTTTTTTTTTTTAATATTTATTAATATTTATTTTTTAGTTCTCGGCGGACACAACATCTTTGTTGGTATGTGGTGCTGAGGATTGAACCCGGGCCGCACGCATGCTAAGCGAGCGCGCTACCGCCTTAGCCACATCCCCAGCCCGAGAACTTTTTTTTATTTGTTTTTTTTTTTTTGTACCAGAGATTGAACCCAGGGGTGCCTAACCACTGACCCACATCTCCAGCCCTCTTTATATTTTATTTAGAGATAGGGTCTCACTAAGTTGCTTAGGGCCTGGCTAAATTGCTATTGCTGAGGCTGGCTTTGGACTTGCAATCCTCCTGCCTTAGCCTCCTGAGCTGCTAGGATTACAGGCATGCACCACCACATCTGGCTGGAAGAAGAATTTTAGATATAAAATTTCACAGCAAAATAAAGTTTTATCTTTATAGTTAGAAAAAGTTAACGATAGTTTTGTCACCTTGCAGTGGTCCCTGGGAGGTCTGGACCCATGTCCACACCAGCCTCTAGTCTGGTTGCACTGTGACACCACTACCATCCCACTTGACCTTTGACCTCTTCCCTTCTTTACCTAGGGCCTCATGCATGCTAAGCATGTGCTCTACTACTGAGCTACACCCCAGCCCCTACTTCTCTCACTTAAAAAAAAAAAAAATTCTATATTTTAAAAATGTTTTTGTCTTGACTCCCTCTTGGAAGGAGGAAAATTCCAAATCTTTCACATAACCAACAACACAGGGAAGCAGAGTACGGAGGCAGGGAAGTGGCCGGACCTCATCCTGAGCTCATCCCGGCAGGCCTGGGCTGCTCCTCCGGGCATGGTCCTGTGCTGGATGACAGGTTAGGGCTTGAGCAGAACAGCAGGAGCCCCGTGTTCCTTGGCTCTGCTGTTACCTGACCCAGAAGGTCAGGACGTGGTCCCAGATGAGGAGTGCCAGGGAGTTGGGGGGTTTCTGCATGACCTGCCTCCTGTTCCTCACAGGTTACTCCAGCCGGAGGGGACAGAGCCCCAGTAGCAAGAGCAATGACACTCTCAGTGGCATTTCCTCCATTGAGCCCAGCAAACACTCAGGCTCCTCCCACAGCCTGGCCTCGGTGAGGAGCTGGGGTGGGGATGGCCAGGGAGGGCACCCAGCACAGCCCCCACTCTGCCCTCAGGGAGCTTCTGGACTAGCAGGAAGACGGAGAAGTTTCAATTTATTCGTGCCTTTGTTCATCCATGCATATAGGTCTTCAGAGATGGCTGCTGGCTGCTGGCTGCAGCCATCATGGGAGAAAGGTGGACAGGTGCAGAAGAGAGAGGCTGACGGCCTCTTGGGGAAGGCACTTATCTCTGAAAATACCTTTCTTCATTCTTTTCTCAGACACTGAGCAAACGCCTGCGTGGTGACAGGGACACTGCTAGGTGCTGAGGATCTAGAGATAAATAGGACAAAGGGAAGCTTGTTTTTTCCTGGAGCACTGCTTCGGCTCCTTCACTCGTCTAGTTAATAATTCACTCAGCAAGTTCGAGTCCAGCACCACCCTGGGGACACAGGGGTGAGCAAGGGATGGTTCTTGTCCTCTGGAGCCCATAGCCTCTGGCAGGAGGGCGCAGCCAGTCCTGTGGATGAGAGACTGGCAGGTGGTGGGCACTCCTGCCTTCTGAGTCTGACTGGTACAGCAAGGACTGGGAGCATGTTTCACAGGCAGACACTGAGTGCCAGGCAGGCCTTGGCCTGGTTCCTCCTGCGTTGGTGGCTCTGGCTGGCATCGTCAGGTGCTTGAGCTGTGGATTCAGGCCATTCTGAAAGTTGAACAGTGGCCAGGCTTGCAGGATGGTTTTGGGAGGTTGTGGGGGTGGGCTCAGAGGGGTCCTGGAAAGGGTCTGCAGAGTCCTCACTCCTTGACCTTGTGCTTGGCACTTAGATGGTGGTGGTGAACTCATCCAGTCCCACTGCTGCGTGCTCGGGACCGTGGGACATCCGAGGGATGGAGGAGTCTGTGCCCACCACCGATGGCAGTGCTGAGCGTCTCTATGCACAAGGTGCAAGCAGGAGGCTGACCTCCGCCAGGGTGGGGTGGAGGAGGGCTGCCCAGAGCCGCTGGGGCTTGGGCCCTGCTCCAGGTGCTGCCCCAACCCTGCCCCAAGCCCCCCGTTCAGTGGTTTTCAGCCCTTTTTGGACAGGGGACAGTATCCAGAAAAAATTTGGTCTAAGTGAAGGCCTGGAATCTGACCAGCTCTGAAGAGTGGTCAGGACCCAGCTCCCCAGGCGTGCTAGGTTCTCCTTTTCCCGTGACCCCTGCCTCCCTCTGTGTGCACCCTTCTTAAGCGAGGCTGGGGAGGCGGGGCCTGACTGTCCTCCTGCCTGTGCCCAGGCATGGAGCTCTTTGAGGAGGCACTGCAGAAGTGGGAGCAGGCCCTGAGCGTGGGCCAGAGAGGGGAAGATGGCAGCACCCCCACGCCAGGGGACAGCCTCCGGAGCCCTGAGACTGCCTCTGAGGCACTGTCAGAGGTAGGTGGTCTTCCTCCACGTCTTGCCCCACGTCTTGCCCCCGGGCCATTTGAGGTTGGTGACGTGAAACACTGGGCAGCCGCGCTGTCTGTGACTCCTTTCCCTCTTGGCCTGAAGCTTCCCATCCATGAGGGCATTATTGGGATTTATAAAACAGTCCACGATGGTGCTTGGCACAGTGCTTGGCACTTGGTAGTTCCTCAGTAAATGATTATCAGACCCTCCTCCCAACTCTGAGGAAAATGTGCAAAGCCTGGAAGGAAATGGGCCTCTGTTCAGAGGGGATTGACTCACGGGGCCTTTTTTGTTTGTTTTTGGTACCAGGGATTGAACTCAAGGGCACTCGACCACTGAGCCACATCCCCAGCCCTATTCTGTGTATTTTTTAAAGACAAGGTCTCACTGAGTTGCTTGGCACCTCATTTTAGATGAGGCTGGCTTTGACTTGTGGTCCTCTTGCCTCAGCCTCCCCAATCTGCTGGGATTACAGATGTGTGCCACCGGGCGGGCTGTTTTTCTTTTCTTGGTGTGTTCTTTTGGAACACTGTCTAGGTGGTTTTCTGTAGTGAATTTTTGTTTTCCAATATTAGGAAAGAAAATAAAGATGGCTGCTGCTTTTTTTGTGGGGCTGACAATTAAAGCCAGGACTTCACTCATGCTGGGCCAGGACACTGCCACTGAGCCACATCTGCAGCCCCAAGGCTTCTGTTTTTTACAGTAAACATTTCTGTGAAAAGGGCACCAAACGCATGTCCCAAGATGGATGTTCACTGAAGTTAACACAAAATCCTGGAAACTACCTAAATGACCATTAACATGGCCTGGGTCACCTCTAGCCACTGCAAGGAGCAGGGGAAAGCTGTGTGGACGGACAGGCCCAGGTTGTGTCATTTGAGTGACAAAAATAAGCCAGAGAACTGTGTGCATAGCACTACCCTGTGTGCATGGCTTTGAACAAGACACACGTGTACGTGCAGTAGAGAGCACTGGTGTGTTCGTTTACTTCCATTTTTCTGTGAATGGATGCATTTACTAGGGGAGAAGTCTGAAGAGGAAGGTGGGAAAAACTTCTACTTTACTTTGCAGTACTTTTTTTTTCTTTTTGAATATTTTTAGGTTTTGTTTTGTTTTGGTGCTGGGGACGGAGCCCAGGGCCTTGCCATGCTTCTGCTGCTGAGCCGCACCCTCAGCCTCTCTGATTCTTCTAATGGTGAACAGACCCTTATGGCAAGGGTTTATATAGGTAGTGATATCTTGGGCTGTTTTTTTTTCCCCCCCTCATGCCTTTCTGTATTGAAAAAGATAAAAAGCAAAACCAAAGGCTGGTGGGTTCCTGTCCTGCTGGAGCAAGGCCAAGCAGGAGCCCTCTTTCAGGAATGGCATGATGGTATCTGCAGCCAGCCAGGAAATGGCAACAACTTGAGGCGCTAAAAACAGGGAGTTTCCAGAGACTTGGGAGATGATTGCAAGTTCAAGGTCAGGCTCGGCAATTTATCAAGACCCTCAGCAACTTAATGAGAGCCTGTTTCAAAATAAAAAATAAAAAGGACTTAATCTGTGGCTCACTACTGCAGCATCCTGGCCCCAACCTTCAGTTCTAAATCAAACCAGACAGGGAGTTTAATCCAGGGACTCAGTTGCCCGGATGAGGGAGGAGCTGGACTCACAGGGGGACTCACAGTGAAAATGCCCACTCTTCCACCCTGCACCTCTGTCTGTGTCTCACCTGTGTCTCCCGTTGGCCAGGAGCCATCAGGTGGGGGTGCTGGCAAGCAGTTTGCAGACCTGGATTGCACCTGGCACAGCCGCTCAAAGGCTAAGAGTGCACCTGCCCTCTGCCCTGACTGGGGCATGAGCTCAGAGGCCTCCTGCCATGTGGGCATGCCTGCTGGGGCCGTGGGCAGACACGAGGGCAGGGAAGTGCCTGGGGCATGGTATAGAGGGCCCACGGTAGAGCCCCTTGATGCCAGTCCATGCAGTAGATGATGGACACCTGCAGGCTCTGTCAGGGAGGGGGAGTGAGTGAGTCCGCTTTGTTTCCCAAATTATACTCATTGCTGAAGCTGCATCTTAGGATCCTGGATCTTGTACTGTTTTCCTCACTGTGAAAGCAATGGAATCCCCACTTGGAAAACAGTGAAAACCACAGAAATCCCAGAGAGGAAAATGGAGGAGCCCAGCCCCTGCCCTTGCAGCTCATGGTTGTGGTGTGGGGCGAAGGCCCTCAGCCTCCTGGGTGCTGGGCTGTCAGTGAGACAGGGTGCTTGTCCTTGAGCCTCCATCCTTTCCCAGGAGTAACCACCGTGGACCCCCGAAGGCATATTTCTACACTATAATTTTTAAAACAGCTTTATCAAATAGAATTCTCATGCTATCAAATTTATACACTTTATTTCTATAATTCAGTGGCTTTAGTAGCTTCCTGGAGTTGTCTGTCCATCGTGGAAATTGCTCCCAGAACATTTTCATGAAACCCCTTATACTTTAGCAGTCACCCCCACATTTCCTCATCCCCCAGCCCTGTACAACTGTGAGTCTCCCTTCTCCATATATAGATGTGCCTATCGTGGACTTTTTTTTTTTTTAGAGAGAGAATTTTTTAATATTTATTTTTCAGTTTTCGGTGGACACAACATCTTTATGTTATTTGTATGTGGTGCTGAGGATCGAACCCAGTGCCCCGCGCATGCCAGGCCAGCGCGTTACCGCTTGAGCCACATCCCCAGCTCCCTGAACATTTTTTTAAATATTTTATTCATTTATTTTTATGTGGTGCTGAGGATGAAACCCAGGGTCTCGAACATGTGAGGTGAGCGCTCTACCCTGAGCCATACCCCCAGCCCTATCCTGGACATTTTTATAAGTGGAATCATGAAATATGTGGTTTTCTGTGGTTGGCTTCCTTCATATGGCATTGTGCTTCCAAGATTCACTGCTGAATGACATTCCAGCATATGGATATTCATTTTATGTGTCCACTTGATTGATTTTTATACATCAGTAGATGGATGTTTGGGTCATTTGCACTCTGGCTGTAATGAGAACGCTCTATGAGCATTTATGTAGGGGTGGCATTTTTGATTTTTGTTTTTTTGTTTGTTTTGTTTTGTTTTTGTACTAGGGATTGACCCAGGGGTGCTCTGCCACAGAGCCACATCCCCAGCCCTTTTATTTTTTGAGACAGGGCCTTGAACTTGAGATCCTCCTGTCCCAGCTTCCTGAGTAGCTGGGATTACAAGTATGTACCATCATGCCTGGTTGTTTTCACTTCCTTGATAGTATCCTTTGAAACATAAAATTTTTTTTTTTTATTATTGGTACTGGGGATTGAACACAGGGGTGCTTTACCACTGAGCCACATCCCTAGTCCTTTTTATGTTTTATTCAGAGACAGGGTTTCACTGAGTTGCTGAGGCTGGCTTTGAACTCGCAATCCTCCTCCCTCAGCCTCTGAGCCACTGGGATTACAGATATGCACCACCACCCCCAACCAAAATTTTTAATTCTAAAATTCAGTTTACTTATTTTAAAATTTAATCGTTCATACTTTTGGTATCATAGCTAAGAAACTTTTGCCTACTCTGAGGTCATTTTATAGCAAAGTAGTGAGCAGGCTGCTGCCAGAGCTGCTAGGCTCTTCTGGCCACACAGAGGGGCCCTGGCCCTGCTATAGAACCCAGCAAAGAGGCCCATGGGTCTGAGGTCCTATAAGCTGAGCCTGGGTCCTAGCTATGCTAGGCTCTAGCTGGATAATCTGGGACACTTAACTTCTTGAGTTTT